AATCTTTAACGACCCACTTGAAATGTGAGTTTGTTTATATTAACGCGCACGTGTTGACACATTTGGCGCGCGCTCGAGACAGATCTGTAGTGTAAAATTTAATAGGGAAGATGCAATATTTTTATTTTTGTTTTCATTTTAAAGAATTCCATGTAGAATAAACCACAGATATATTAAAAAATTAAAATATTGTGATTTATCGGAAAAAAGGCGGTTTTAAATTGATAATTTAAATTTTCGCGCGAAAACGAACCTATGGTTGCGATGACGTCATTCCTGTCTGTCACTGGTCGAACTTGTTCGTTGCTGGCTTTAAATTTTCATACTTTTGCATATTTTTTCGACTTTCGAAATATTTTTTTGAAAAACTTAAAATGGACTATCCATCAACATCGTGTGACTCATGTTTTGTGCCAATCTACTTCAACAAAGTTCCCAAATAAATTGTTTTTTACTGGAACTTCTGACCCAAAACTGAAAAAAAAGTGGTTTCAAGCTGCGAAGAGAAATGACAATTATTCTCCAAAGACCATTATTCGATGCTGTGAAGATCACTTTGACGTAAGTCGGCGAATATACTTGTTAAATGCTTAATTAATCTGCTTGTAAGTAAAAACGCATTAGTAACCTACCTAATACTTACTAAACCTGTCTATAACCTATTTTTAATTTTACAATTGGAGAATGACGTCGAAAATAAGATAAAGTTTAAAATGTGTGGCATAATCTTCACATTGGCAGGACTGAACCAAGCTTTGCGTTTCATTTAAAATAACTGTAACACGATAACCTTCTTTACGCACTTTATGCTCCGGAGAACTCGACCTTTTACTGTACATAATTCTCCATCTCTTTTAGTTTGGACATAGCCGATTGCATTATCGCCGTAAGATTTGTAGAAGCCGCTGAATAAAATACGAAGTTTAACAACTACGATTTTTACATACCGTAGTAATATCGTCCCTTTCATTTCTACACTTAAAAACTCTGCACTTTGGACAAAAAATGTTATAACCATGTCAATACTAACTCTTGGTAAATTCCTGGAGTCTGCTTTGATAAACGCAACTTCCATTTTTATTAAATGTAAAAAAACGCAATAAATATTCCCATAAAATAATATTTAGTTTAACAAGCATAACCTCAAAGAAGTTGTCATAACAGGAGTGACGTCACTAAACGCTGATTGGTGTTTTAAAATACGTTCCGTTTCAAGTATTTTTAATTCGTAATAATTGTTAAAAAACAACATTATGTAAAATAAAAACGTTGCAGTGACATTTCTTTTATATTTTTTTAACATTTTAATCATAAAATTTTCATAAATATTATATATGCATCTTCCCTATTGTGGTAGTATAGAATTTTAGGTTTTTATTTGGTAAGTTATAATAGAATGTGCAAATAACCAAAAAATCTGGACATGAAATTTTGAGATTTTGAAAATATACTCCATTTTACCCATCTAAACGCCTTTTTTTTATCTTTCCCGAGTTTACCGTAACGTAATTAAAATAGATTATAGACATGACGCATTGTTTAGACACTGTTTTATAGTAAATTTTATGGAGAATCCAAATATATATAGTTTGTGTAGGGTATTCTTACAAAATAACTGAGAAATCGGCAAAACAATGCAACCATTCCCACACCGCGGGGGGGCTCGGTGGGTGGTCGGTCCATTGACCCCTTCGCGGCGCGTGCGCATGGCCGCCGGAGAGGAAGAAAACAAAATATTTTATTTATTTATTAAAACATTATTTATTGCAAAATAAATTGGCAGGTTATAAATGGTTATGTTATATAACTTATAAAGCAAGCTTTCTGCATTTTTGTGCTGCAAATTCTTTTATTTGCTCATCGCACTGTAGGTCCTTTGTTAAATCGCAATTTATCGAAAGAACTGATAAATGATTTAGTCGATAGTTCGACATTGTTGTCCTGTATTTGTTTTCTATATACGACATCCTGGAGAAAGAACGCTCGGCTTCACAGATAGTGATCGGCATCGTTAAAAAAATCTTTAAGATGGTATAGCAGTTTGGCACATCAACAAGTTTCTTTTCATAAATTAGCCAAAAAATTTCACTGCAAGAGGTGTAAGACTCTGCCTTAGACTGCAGTAAGTAAGATTTCAACTGAATGCACTCATTCACTAAATGTTCGTCTACGTCATTTGGATAATAATCAATAATATTACGTACACTTTCCAGATCTATGTGTTCTTGATTTTTGTCTTGCAAATCCATTAAAAAATTAAACTTTTTGCTATAGGTCTCATATCTTCTTCACTCATATCACTTCTTTTATTTAAATCCATAATCACCTTATCCAACGCAACGTTAAGCGTGTCTCTTTTAAATTTTTCTTCGCCGTTTACTGAGACTTTATCTGTTGATTTATATGAAAATTTTGAAGTAATGCGTCTCTTATTTATGTCACTGTAGTCTGTTCCTACACTAGTACTTAATTTTTTAGCTTTCCTTTAGCTTCTGATCTGATTGTTGCCTTATGTTTTTCACGAACTCTTTTAATGACACAATTAACTTATTGCCTTCACCAATGTCTAAACCAGGGCTCCGTACTTTTTTATTAACTACATTAAATCTTTCCAAAATTTTTGTTTGTCAAAATGTTTTTTAAATCTTGCATACTTCACCACTTGTTTTTTTTCCCTGGTTTTGCGATTTTTTGCTACCTTCGGTTAGATTCTCTTCTCATAAAATACCTTCCTTTACGTTTTTAATGGATTTATAGCTATTTCAATCACGTTTATATCTTCTGATTTAAAAAAAAATGCGCATTTATTTCTTTCTTTTTCTCGACCAAACTGTAATTTTCTTTTTTCAGCTCCACTTTTATATTTTCTAGAAGACCTATTGTAAAATTAGATATTTTCCTGAAAATAAACAAAGAACTGGATAGAACTTTTAACTTTAATACTTACTTTGTAATGAGTGTAACAATTCACAAATTTATCATTAAATATCGAACGAGTTCGATTCATTTAGTTTTGAAAACTGAAATAAAAATAAAAAAGTCATGTTTTGACGTGACAACGTCTTAAATTAGGTTGCGGCTGGGAGTCACTTATGAAAAAGTGTAACGCTCGGTAACGTTACGATGAGTCTCTCGTGTTAAGTTTAAGTTTACATGTACAATGTTTTAGTAAACAAAATATATTTCTATAGTTAAAATTTGTGCAATTCTTATTTTCATTCAATTCCTTGTTCCTATTGTGCAATTTAATTATATTCATATCAATAAATATTCTACCGAGAAAAAGACGTTGTCACGTAAAATCTTCGCCCGTAAAACCGACTTTACAGGCAACCATATTTTTTATAATTCTTTTTACTTACCTACTGCCTTTTAAAAGCACGAAGTCTAGTTATGCTGAATAATTTCAATTTTAGTGAATTTAAAGAAAGGTCCGGTTTACTAAGTGATAGATAACTTAAAGGTTATAAACCTTTAAGTTATCTATCACTTAGTAAACTAAATTTAACATATTTCTTACAATAACAAAGTTAATTCGTTAATATAGTCGACGATAGCAGAAGGGGGGAAAAATAACAAAATTGCGTCGGGCGATAAGCGGAGGGAAGTCCCCAATAATAGACAGCACACGGAATACACCGACCGAAAACAAGCGACAGGGAATTCCCCGTTCCGTTTGATAGATGCGCACGGGTTGTTTGATCGCAGTGTTGCCAGCCTTATGATCGGATTTTTTATTATTCTAGATAATTTTTATTATTGACAATATCGTCTATTGGTTTCAGTTCGGTTGGGGGCCCTCTATATTCGCGGGGCCCTGGGCTGCAGCCCAAAAAGCCTTTAAGTAGATCCGCCCCTGGGATCTACAAACCCGTAGTACATCATTTTGTTCTATTATTAATAGTTTTTGCAGCGCACGCAAAAATAGGTTTTTAATTTTACACCTTATGTTACAAAATAGCAATTTTATTACGGATTCCTAATTTTGAAAAAAAATATAGCTTATAGCCTTTCTCGATAAATGGACTACCCAACACTGAAAGAAACATTCAAATCGGACCAGTAGTTCCAGAGATTAGCGCGTTCAAACAAACAAACAAATTCTGCAGCTTATAATATTAAGTATATATATATGTGTGTCAATAGAATACATAAATATTAAAATATATATATTTGTTATATCTACATATATAAATATACACATAATTATGCCAGTCAAATATGAGAACGCAGATTAATTATATTAAGATAATGCTCACGAAGCAATCCCTTATATACAAGTTTGTTAGGAGCTTTACGTATATTATGGATATGAATTATTGTTAATATTATTGTTATTATTGGAGATATTGTTATTATTATTTTATTTGTAATTATTGTTATTATTGGATATGAATTTGAATTCGGTGAAAATTGTAATGACTGAAAAAATAAACATAATTGGAGTTGAGGAGTGGAAAAATGTTTACGAACACGCAATAAAATGTGAAAATGAATATCGACGTTCGTTTTTAACCCCCCCTCCCCCTTGGTGATACATGGTGAGGTTTAAGACTACTAAGACTTGGAATTCGAAGTAATCACTCTCCTTGGTTATGTCACTGTGTCCATGACTTTGACAATAAGCCAACGTCACGGTAATAATATTTGTGTCGTGACGCGACACATCAGAAAGCTTGTGTCAACACATTGCGACGAGTTCTCGACACAACACTACACACAAATATATTTCCGGCTTTATGCTGCCATGTTATAAGAGAGAGACAAAGGACCTCTGTCATAACTATCACACTGTGTCCGGGTAAGCCATCTTTGCGCCTAAGCGTATAACAACTTGTAAAATGATTTTTTTGTTCATAAAGTAAGGTACATTTACGAGAAATTTTATCTTTACTTTGTACTGCCATTGTGCTAGCCAAATGCAAGAAAGTGGTGTTCTAGGCTAGCCTAGCAGTCTCTTGACCATAGAGAAAGGTAAATATAGATTAAGTACACCAACCGTGGCACTTTGCCTGCTTCCACTTTGCATTTTGTTTTGAGGTTATCTTGGTGTATGATCTGATCACCGTACTTGTTCTAAGTTATTAAATCTAGGTATAATGGCAGATGTTGCTGGTGAAAAGGTATCTAAGAAGTGAGTATGTTTTGAGAAATAATAATGTTTGCAATAAAAACTATTGCGATCTTGCCTAGAACCTTTACGCGTACCAAGTTAAACCTGCAACCCTTCAGTAACTTATCTTCTGCAGTTAGCCAACGGTTGGTTGATTACGTTTTTACCTAGCTTACATAAAATATTATTACTTAAAATGCAACTTCTGTGTTATTTTTAGTGAACTCAAACGGAGACTTAAAGCTGAACAAAAAATAAAAGAGAAAGCAGAAAAGGCAGCTCTACAAACAGCAACCCCTGCTTCAGAAAAAAAAACAACTAAATCAGAGGAAGAAATCAGTCCTAACGAATATTATAAGTTGAGGACATCTGCAGTTGCTGCACTTAAATTGGGATCAAAGTCAGAACACCCTTATCCTCATAAATTTACAGTAACGATTTCACTCGAAGAATTTATAGAAAAATATAATAATGTTAATAGTGGAGATGTATTGGAAAATGTTACTGTCTCACTTGCTGGTAGAATCCACTCTATCAGAGAGTCGGGTTCTAAACTTATTTTTTATGATTTACGGGGAGAAGGTGTTAAAATTCAGGTATATGTTTCTAAATACTAGTAATGTTAAAAAAGGTACACTTTTATGAAAACCATAATTTGAATCAGTATGTGTCTGTCCGTTCCCTCTCCCAGGAATCATTTCACAGAACAGACAGCCACCCCACATGCAGTTTTTATAGAACAGCACAGTGTGGGAGAACCACCTCACACAGTGCTGTGAAACAAGAAGAAACAAACATGACTAATGTACACCAGCTCTGTGCTCTTGCTTAACGTAGTGCAGGCTCTTAAACTCGTCCAATACGCGCCGGAGTCCTTCAGGGCTCGCCACTCTCGCCTATCCTAGAGGATAGGCGAGAGTGGCGTTCATAAAGGCCGAGTAGACTCGGCCTTTATGAACGACATGCCCAAGACTCCTAAGGTCGATCTCGCGCTTTTCGCCAACGACACCGCCCTCTATACCTCCGATAGACGTCTCGGAACAGTCTGTAATAGACTTCAATCAGCTGCTACCACCCACCCTTGGCGATTGGTTCCGTAGATGGCGTGTCGAGGTTAATCCGGAGAAAAGCGTCGGGATCCTCTTTAGCACCACACCACCTCACACGCGATCTCTTCCTAGCGTCCAACTATTTGACCGGGTCATCCCCTGGGAGGACCGGGTCAAGTACTTGGGTGTTACGTTAGACAACCGATTAATGTTTGCACCTCATCTCAAGATAATTCGCGATCGCGCAGCATTCATTCGCGGCAGGCATTCCACCTTATAGGGAAGCATAGTAAGTTGTCACTTAGGCATAAGTTGACAATTTACAAAACTTGCATCCGCTAGTTTTTATGTAGATGTGTCTGAAGAGTATTATAAGTTAAATCTGTTACAGTTTAGGTTTAACCAGTATGAATTTTTCCAGGTAATGGCCAATGCTAAAATGTATGAATCAGAGGAAAACTTTGCTTCTGACACTGATAAATTAAGAAGAGGTGATATTATTGGATGTATAGGGCATCCTGGTAAAACTAAAAAAGGGGAGTTGTCCATTGTACCAAAAACCATTAAACTACTGGCACCATGTTTACATATGTTACCTCATCTACATTTTGGTCTAAAAGATAAGGAAACTAGATTTCGGAAAAGATATTTAGATCTCATTTTGAATGATAAAGTAAGAACTATTGTTAAATGTAGTCTGTTTAATCATTTTGCTGGTATTTTATTCATTAATTATAAATTAATCTTGCAGGTCAGACAAACATTCTATGTAAGAGCAAAAATTATAGCATATGTCAGGAGGTTTTTGGACAGTATGGGTTTTCTGGAAATAGAAACACCAATGATGAATTTAATCCCTGGAGGAGCTACTGCAAAACCATTTATCACTCATCATAATGAACTGAATATGGATTTATACATGAGGATTGCTCCTGAATTATATCACAAGATGTTGGTTGTTGGTGGCTTAGACAGAGTCTATGAAATAGGGCGACAATTTCGTAATGAAGGTATTGATTTGACACACAATCCAGAATTCACAACTTGTGAATTCTACATGGCTTATGCTGATTACAATGATCTCATGACCATTACTGAATCTATGCTCTCTGGAATGGTGAAGAGTATTCATGGTACATATAAGGTACATATCCTTAAAGTAATATACAAGAAATTATTATACCCTATATACGGTTAGCTAGCTAGATAGACGTACAAATCAATATAATGTTTGAATTTCTAGGTTAAATATCACCCTGATGGTCCTGATGGCAAAGAAGTAGAAATAGATTTTACACCACCATTTGCCCGAATGCCAATGATAGCAACTTTAGAAAAAGTACTGAATGTGAAATTGCCTTCACCTGAAGAATTTCATACTCCAGAAACAAATGCTTTATTCAGTCAACTTTGTGAAAAACATGAGGTAAAAATGCACACACTGGGCTTCATTCAAGTACAATTTACTTAACTTGCTTGCTTTGCTTTTAACTTTTGATCTCGCAATGATAAGGTTTAACTATGACCCATGACTCATCGACGTTTTGGTACATATAACTTCACAGTCATGTTTCATAAATAATAGTTATTTTATTAAAAATTCAGGTAGAGTGTCCTGCTCCTCGTACAACTGCCAGGTTATTAGACAAGTTGGTTGGAGAATTTCTGGAAGAGAAATGTGTAAATCCAACATTTATTTTAGATCATCCACAGATCATGAGTCCATTATCCAAATATCACAGGGAAATACCTGGCCTTACAGAAAGGTAATTTGATTCCAAATGTTTTTCTTAACTATCTTTGTATTTGATAGAGCTATGCTTGTTTACATTTTCTTCACATAATAAATTTACTTCATTGTCTCAATAGGTTTGAATTATTCGTGATGAAGAAGGAAGTATGCAACGCATATACAGAATTAAATGATCCAGCTACACAAAGAGAACGATTTGTACAACAAGCTAAAGACCGTGCAGCAGGTGATGATGAGGCCCCACCTACAGATGAAGCTTTTTGCACAGCTCTGGAGTATGGCCTTCCACCTACTGGGGGATGGGGACTTGGAGTTGATCGTCTCACTATGTTCCTCACTGACTCTAATAATATAAAGGTTATTTTTTTTTACTTTTTTAACTTTTGGAAATCAAAGTGTTTAGTTTTAACAAGCATGCTTCATTTGCCAATATCATCTGTTAGTATTAGCAGTTACCTAAGCCGAACGAAATGCCTATACATTACGAAATATCAAAATCCCGAATGCAAACTACATGACTGTAGATGACACAAATATTTGGTCTAAGTAGTTTTTGCATTAAAAGAAAATATTATATTTTAACCATTTGAACGCCATGCCACAATCCCGTGTCCTGTATGCCAAGGCACAAATTAAACAAAAATACCAATTTTTTTAAACTTAATGAGGGTAAGTTTTGGTTTAATAAAAGATAACCAAAAAACCCATATTTGGATGAACCAATAACTTCTCTGGCTACTCTAAACAAAAACAGCAAACAGATGTTTTTGTTTTTTTATCATTTAACTGCTACATGTATAAATCAAAATTAATTCGTAATATTTTTTAAGCAAAATTTTCTTAAGACAAAGACAGGTATACAGCAATGATATTAAATACCCTAGATACAACAACACGAACAAAACCGTGGCCGAAACCTGTCCAAAAGGTACATTGGACGATCCACAAAGCTCCATAAGATGATCGCGTTGCCAGAAACAATTTAAGGCATTATTTACACATTGAAAGTAACCTTTAATGCACACTGCATAAGGTTTTAATTAAAAGGCATGTGTTAAAGAGTTACGACACTTCAAAATGCAAGCTCGTACAATTTTACGACTTATTGCTATATCTGGAAAAATATAGACCTTATTTGTGTGACTCTACGCGTAATTTTGAATGCGCTGTTACCAATATATCAGGTACGATCGCGAGGAAAAGAGACGGCTATTTAACCGACCATACATTTGAATATCACAAATATTTTATATTTAATCAGTTTATATAAGTTTTAGAACAAATTTGCTTCAAATGCGTTAAATTAAAAAAGACTTTGATGGTATACCTTTCAAAAAAACGACACTTTACGTACTAAAAGTATTATATATTTCGCATTTTTTCACGGAGCTCTGCGGCATCTTGACTTTTCGACGGGCCGCGTGTGACTGAGAATCAAAAGGTGCTTGAGTGATGTTCAAGCACTTCTTGATTGGGACACATTTTGAACACTCATGGTGTATCTAGGGTATTTAATATCATTGGTATACAGCAATAGTTTCACTTTAGGATGCCAGACTTGATAATTTTCTGCTTTAATATTTCAGTTAGTATATTCAGGAATAAATATGCATACATAACCAAACACCCCAATTCATAATACTTTATTAAATATTTTAGCTATGTTAAATTGTTCATAGTAACAAAAGACTGTGGTATCATATTTTACAGGAAGTTCTGCTATTCCCAGCCATGAAACCTGATGACCCCAACAAGAACAATGCTGATGAGAATACTGATGGAGTACAAAACGGAGAGTAGTAGCTAAAATATTGTGTTTTGTAAGAGTAAAGCTTTCTAGTTCATTATATATTGACTAAACTTTGTTTTCATATTATTTATAACATCTTAAAATTATTGCGTTTCATTAAACATGTATAAATACATATATTCGCTGTATTATTTAGCACTTATAATAAGGTGATTCTTGTAATGGCTCCTATACACTACGCCAGGGGTGCTCAAACTTAACGCAAACGTACTGTGCCGTGCGTAACGCATTTCTCCAGGTCAAAAAAAAGGGTGCTCAAACTTGAACTTTTTAGACTACTTACAATCAACTCTGAGAGGCTGCAATATGTGTGATGCAAGGTTGTCGTACATACACGATACACCGCACCTACCTAGGTAAAACATATAACAACTCCCTTGTGAGGTCAATCTGCACTACATATAGTACCTCTCCTTTCAAACCAGTGCTATCTGAGAACACAACTAGAAGTAAAACAATTATGTTCTCGGATAAGTTAGGATGCGGCTTTGGATTAATGTTAAGGAATCATTGTAATGAAAGAATTACTAATATATGTATGCCAGGTAAATCAATAAATGACATTGTAAGTGAACTGAATCAGTATGATGCGGACAGTTTGACAAACATAGTTATTATGTGTGGTGACAGCTCTAAAATAAGAGCAAGAGATATGTATAGAAATATAGAGGTGCTACTTAACTATCAGTCTAGGTGCAAGTGTAAAATAATAATAAGCGCTTTCCCATATGCAGAAAATTTAACTAGGGAACAAAACAAGCGCATCTTTAATTTGAATTTAATAATTCATAATTTATTAAGTAGTCATAGTGACAATTTTTTATATTTTGATATAAATAAATATATTAGTAAATTTAAGTTGACCACACATACTATGTATCTTGCAAAAAATATAAGACTCAGATAGCTACTTTGTTAGCTTTTAATATACAAAACTCAGTTATACATGGTATAACAAAGTCTATGCAACTGGATTGTTTTAGTGTCAGCACTAATAAAATTAATTTAATATTCAAGGGTTGGCTGGCAAAGATTTAGAATTAGAACTATTTGCAAAGAGCCAGGATATTCATGTAATCTGTTTATCTGAACACTGGCTTAAGTCTTCTGAGGTGTCTTTTAGCATAAACAATTTTCAAATGATAAGTGCATATGTTCGTACTGCAGCTATACACGGTGGCACATTAATTTTTGTAAATAAAAATATAAAAACTAGGGATAGGAAGGACAAAGTTGGCCTCTCAGTAGAACGTATTATTGAGCTATCCTGTGTTGAATTCAGTGAATTTATTATAGTATGTGTATACAGACCCCCTCTAGGCAACATTAGTGTTTTTGAATCAGTGATGGAGAATGTTCTAAAAAGGTTAGCCTAAAAATAAGTTTTTGATTGTAGTTGGTGACTTCAATATTAACATTCTTGAAAATAATTCAATGTCAATTCGCCTAACATCACTATTCAAATGTTTTAATTTGGTACATCAATTTTTTGAGCCTACTAGAGTAACATCTCATTCAGCTACTTGTTTGGATAATATATTTACTGATTATAATCCAGTTAGTAAATCAATTATTAATTGTATCACATCAGATCATTACGGCTTAAAAATAACATATAATACAAATGACACTACTAAGCCCAAATTCATTGAATTAAGACCAGTAACAAATAAACGTTTAGAAAATTTTCAAAACAATATTGATGATAAAATGTTTCAAATGCCATGGACACATGAGGATCCTAATATTCTTTACGGCAATATGTTCACTTTGGTTAAGAAAGAATTCGATAAGGCTTTTCCGCTTAAAACTTTGAAATTAACTCAAAAGTTGAACTTCTGTGACTGGGCTACGTCTGGTATTTATAAGAGCAGAAATAAACTTTATGATTTGTACTACTTAAGGAAGTACAATCACTCTCAGGGTTTCATTGATTATGTTAAAAGGTACTCAAAAACATTCAAAAGTGTATGTGCAACAGCCAAATCCAATTACATAAAAAATAAAATCAAAAAATCTAATAATAAAATTAAAACGACATGGAATGTTATTAATAGAGAAACTCGTAAAGAAAGAACCCTCGATGATGGGATCGCACTTAAAGTAGATAATATTCAAATTAAAACAAAAGAACAGATTGCCAATACTTTTAATGAATATTTCGTTAATATACCATTAATTACTACTTCTAATTTGAATTCGACGCCAGCGGGTGCTAAGAGTTTGCTAGAGACGTGTGTGCCTCGGTGTAATAACCTGTTTACGTTTAAACATGTTGATTTTATGGATATTATAAAATGCTTTAACTCACTTAAAAAGAAAAATACGTGTGATTTGTTTGGAATGTCTATTAAAATTACTAAAAGTATAATAACAGTTATCGCTCCTTATCTTGCAGATATATTCAATAAGTGTATTGATCAAGGTGATTTTCCAGACCTATGAAATATAGTAAAGTTATCCCTCTCTTCAAAAACGGCATAAGAGATGATCCCGGTAATTACAGACCTATATCAATATTACCGGTATTAAGTAAAATTTTCGAAAAAATTATTTTAGATCAATTATTATCGCATGTCAGTTTGAACAAACTTGTTTCTTAGGTTTTCACGCACATCACTCATTAAATAAAACTAGTTTAAACGGGATAATGCACGAAACTTTATTTATTTATTGGCGTTTCGTAGCCTTTCCAGGCTTCGTCGTCAGAATAAAACTTTTGTTTAATTTGTCGAGCTACCTTCGAAAGACTTTTATTGAGCGTTTGGTTATCTCATCGTTCGATTTTTAAGTTTTATTGTCTATGTATGAATTTATTATTTAATTTACTTAATAAAGTATTTTATTTAAAATTCTTGTTTGTAATTTTGCGTTTATTTATTTGACCCTAACTACCGTAAACTACCACCGGTTCCAAAATTGGGAGACCTTCCTGAGAAGAACCGTCGAAACAAACTCAAAAGAGGCTTTCTATCTCCTTCTTATGTTAAATAATGCAAACAAAAAGAACTAATAGTATCTGATGGTCTTGCAGTATGTGCTCGGGGTTGGGATTTTATCTCCTGTATAATAGGTTCCCAAGATGGTGGTATATACCAACCATCTTCCCTATTGAAATTTGGATATTTTTTAATCTCAATAGCCTCGCGCATCATTCGAGGAACGAAACGCGGCTCAGCTGCAAGCCGCGTTCATACATAGACAATAAAACTTAAAAATCGAACGATGAAATAACCAAACGCTCAATAAAAGTCTTTCGAAGGTAGCTCGACAAATTAAACAAAAGTTTTATTCTGACGACGAAGCCTGGAAAGGCTACGAAACGTCAATAAATAAATAAAGTTTCGTGCATTATCCCGTTTAAACTAGTTTTATTTTTTTGAACAAACTGTTACATAATAATCAATTTGGCTTTACTAGGGGTAGATCAACAACGGATGCGGGTGTTGCACCTATAAGACATATAATGGAAGCCTGGGAGAAGTCGCAGAATGTTCTTGGGGTATTCTGTGACTTATCCAAGGCGTTTGACTGCGTTGAGCACCAGACGCTGGTGTTAAAATTAAATCACTATGGAATCAAAGGCGCAGCCCAAAACTTGCTACTATCGTATCTCAGTTCCAGAGTTCAAACTGTAGAGGTAAATGGTGTTAAGTCATCTGGATCTTATGTGAAAATGGGCGTTCCCCAGGGATCGATTTTAGGTCCGTTTCTATTTTTATTGTACATAAACGATTTGCCATTTTTTGTGGAAAAATTGTGTGAGATCGTATTGTTTGCTGATGATACTTCTTTATTATTTAAGGTTGACCGATACAAGAATAACTTTGACGATGTAAATAATGCTCTCTCACAAGTATTGCACTGGTTTAATGTAAATAACTTAAAATTAAATGCAAATAAAACCAAATGCATTAAATTCACTTTACCTAATGTTAGAAGCGAAACCATTAGAATTAAATTAAACAATGAAAACCTAGATTTAGTTGAGTCAACGATATTCTTAGGTATAACCATAGACTCGAAATTGCAATGGTATCCTCATATTTCTCTGCTAGCTGGTAAACTTAGTTCAGCAGCCTATGCCATACGTAAAATAAGACAACTTACTGATGTAGCTACTGCTAGAACTGTATACTTTAGTTACTTTCATAGTATTGTATCCTATGGTATTATTCTCTGGGGATCAGCAGCCGATATTGAAACTATATTTATCTTGCAAAAAAGAGCTATAAGGGCTATTTATCAACTTAGTTCTAGAACATCTCTTAGAGAAAAATTTAAAGAAATCGGGATTTTGACTGTTGCTTCTCAATTCATTTATAATTGCATACTTTTTGTTCGAAGCAATATTAACTATTATCTAAAACACAGTGACATACATTCTTTTAATACAAGGAATAAAAATAAACTCAAGATACCAAATTACAGGTTACAGAAGGTTCATAAATCATTTATGGGTCAAGGTATACATTTCTTTAATAAGATTCCTATTGATATCCTTGATTTGCCTCCTCATAAATTTAAAGTACACATTAAGAATTGTTTACTTAAGGAAGGATATTATACTGTCAATCAATATTTGAATGATAAAACGGCCTGGTTGTAATTTTACCTGTAGATAATTTTTCAAAAGTTATATTAAAACTAAGGCTCCCAGCCTTAGAAAGAGTTGATTCATTGATTGTTACATATTTGACATTATGTGATGGAAGTTGACCTCAACACATGTTTGCAAGTTTGATGTCAACTTTCAATTGGACGACACTGTATGAAATAAAACAGGGAGAAAAAAGCAGCCCTTGCTGAGTTTCTTGCCGGTTCTTCTCAGTACAAGGTCTCCCGCCGTAGTTTTGCGAACCGATGGCGTAGCTTTTCGACATTCACAAGTGCTTGTAACAGCCTAGACTGAATAAATGATATTGAATTTTTGAATTTTAGGGTGTACCGTAGCATATATAGATACATACATTAGATCATATGTAGATAGTCGATCGCGATCGACCATTTGAGCACCCCTGCACTACGCCAACACATGCTGCAGAAACTTGGGAGAAAGTTGTTGAGCTAATGTCTGAATTAATGTCCTAGCAATCCGTGCGGCCATGCTGGCGCCTTCTGTGGTAAAGCCAGCAGCTTTTAGGCTGCATTGCGTGCCGCGGCTTGCTCTGTGTGTAGGAGCCATTAGGAGGATTTAAAAACTAAATTTTCTTTTTTTTTTAATTATGTTTTTTAGTAACAATAATTTATTAATTTTTTTTACTGCTAGAAGTTTATATCTAATATTTTTTTTAGATTTAAAGTATAATGCTCATAACAATGGAAATGGTTACAATTTTATACATTTATTCAATATCCTCTTCATCTAAACAAGTTGAATTGTAATGTTCTCCTAAACGGTACATGTGGCGATGATATGTGATGACCAAAGACGGTCCTGAAAATTCTGTACCCTGTTCTATACACTCAGGCCCTGTAGATTGTATAACAGTTATGGGGCATTTTAAAGAACTAGATAAAGCTCTAATTTCTAGTTGCCCACCCCACAATTTACTATTACAAATTTTATCACAATATTCTTCAAATTCTTCATCAGTGAGCATTTCAAATGTATCCGGATTAGACATAAATGGTAAAAAATCATTCTTGTGTTGCCTGATATAAGATGCACATTCATTCCTAAGTTTTTCAGTAGAATAAGACTCTTTTCTGGTCAATAATAACTGATGTGCCACTGCATTATACAGACAGTCACCATCAGATGCAATTGGAAATATATTTAGTTTCCTAGGTTTCAATTTTTGAGCTATATCTTGTATTTCTTTATTTCTGGGTCCATGTATGTTCTCTTTCTCTTGCAATTTTATTGATTCTTCTCTTTCTTTTTCCAATTGATTCTTTTTCTCTCTCCTTTTTTGCGCTTTGGTCACTTTGAGTTTTGCTACCTCTTGTTCTATAGAATCTTGTTCATCAACTGAATCAATTTTATCTTCTTTTTGCAGAGATTCTAGTTCCTGTTTATGGCGATTATCCATTTCAATCTCTAATTTAGATATAACAAACAAAATCTCTTTCTTCTTAGTCTTATCATTCTTGGCAGTTTTTTTCAAAGCTTGAATTTGAGCTTGAAGTTCTTTTTTCTCTTTTCTGTGTCTACTTTCTATAGTTTCCATATTATCGTTTTCTTCCAACTGATCCATTATTGATTTTAACTTAGGGTCTTTATGCTACAGTATTCCAAAGTCAACAAAAAAACTTTGCTAAATAATCAGTGTATACTTACTTGGCTTGGAAAACAGTCAGCTTTATTATTGAGCAGTTTTTATTTTAATTGCAATCTATCATGAACCCACCATCCTACTTTGTTTAATCAAAGCTTGAAATAAAATATAGTAAACTCAAGTAAAGCTTCTTTGAATCTATAACTTCAACTCTCCATAAGCTATTTGTTATTTTATGGCACTTCCCTAGCAAGCAATACAGTTATTTATATTTTTTATAAATACTCAGGGCCCGTGTTAACTAGCCAAAAAGATTAAGGTTATTTTTTTAGAAAGAAAGATTACGAGTTTTTATTCCGACAAAAATGACATTTTCTATGTTGCCAGTTTATTGCAGTGTTACCAGAAAACCATTTCGCCTTCCCCCCAACACTTACCCGAAGTGCGAGGCCGCACTACGGCGAAACCGCCGCGGTTTTATACCGCGTAGTTTTGTGAATCATGGAAACTAATGCAAGCGGCCGCACCAGCGGTTTTTTCCCGCGACTGATTTTAAAACCGTGATTAGTTACATAGTGGCTCGCGGGTAAAAACCGCACCAAAATTTGTAGTCCATACAATATATTTACGAAATTTGTGACGACATTTTCTATTTCTTAGTATTAAAGCAACAATACATACAGCTCTCTTGAAATCCATCCTCAAACTGTGATAAATCGTGTCTAGTTTCGCGGTTTTTAATCGTAGTGTGTGTGCTTCGGGCGGTTTTGCGGTTTACCGCTTGCGGGAAAAAACCGTAGTGCGGCCTAGCACGAAATCCCCCCCACAATACAGGTTTTAAATCAAAATCCTCCAATATTCAAAATATTTAATAAAATTACAATATTTACTACAAAATACGTATTTCTGTAATAGCATCCATTACTGGATCAATATCTTCGTACTCGTCGTCTTTCTTACTAGTTTCTAAATCTTGTTACATAACTTTGTTTTTATAGTGCCCTTATTATCTTACCAAGGTGCAAACAATTAAAAGGACAAATTACGATTTTGCAGAGCAAAGATGATAGATAGTGTCAAATCGATTTGCAGTTTAAGCTAACGACCATTATCGACTGACTGACTTGTTTAAATTGACATGAACTGACTGACCGAGCGACTGAGCTAGCTAGACAGACGGACGGACTGAAGAAAAAATGTACTCTTTTACAGTTAAAGAAATGGTGACATAAAGTCGTGACATGAATGTTTGAGGAACTAACATTATTCATGTGTCTGGCAACACCAATCTTATGTACATCAGCTGTCATGGAGTTTCAGTTGTGGAACAGTTTTCCTTTTTTATTTTTTATTGTTTGGGTCAAACTGAAATAAATTAAGACGAAACTATGCAGAAAGGTATAAAAATGAGTAAAGTAAATCGGAGAGGCACGCGGGAAGTGATTTTTAAAGTTTTCCAGCGATGTTTCGAAGACTACCAAGCTGGACGAATTTTGTGGGATTTGGATGATGTTTATGGGCGAACAGCATCTATGACGGATATGTAATCGTGTAACTATTTGTTTGTAATCTGCCTGAAGTTACAAATCTACTCAAGTTACGATTTTGAGACCAAAAAAGGGCATTGTTTACATTGCACATTATTAGGTTAGATTGACATTGTAAATAGGTAATATTGTAGTACGACCATTTCTTTTGATACGTTATTATGGTTCAACTCGGTCAGGTTTTCTACCAATTTTGAATTAATTGCTTCATGTCAATAAGTTATTGTTTCTATTCCGTTACATATTTTTTTTACTTTTTTTCAGGAAAATCAGAGAGTCGGAGAGTCAACGAAGGTTTTAAGAATGATGGAAAGTTTGAAAGTCCTGGGAAAACAGGCAAGGCCGACCAAAGAAAGAAATGGTCACATAAAAAACCATGGCCAGATGCTTTTAGTGAAGATACCCATAACTAATTTTACTAACTGCACATTTACAAATTGTTTCTCTAAATAAACTTTTTATATAATATAAAATGATTTTTAGTATTATTTTCTTAACAAGTGTGTTAAAAAACGTCGTATGATGATACTTGTGTGTATTGATGATTACCTAACGGCTCTGGTCTCAATGGCACCTCAGCGGTAATCACCAACATTACACACTTTTACACTATAAAGTACTATTTTATCTATAAGGCATTGTCCTAATACAACGCGATTACGCGAATGAGCGATGCGATCATCGTACGATTCGACGATCAAACATATTGATCTAGAATAGGTGTCCTAATAGGCGATCGCGCGATGCATTCGCGCGACTAAAATGTTTAAAAATCTATTCGCGCGAACTTAGTTCACGCGAACGCGCAATCAAACCTATTAATGATGAATAGGTGTCCTATCTAAAGTTCGCGCGATGATCGCGTCGCGTCGATAGGAAGCGGGGAGAGGGGCAGGGCTAACCCGTTCCGTATTCGCGTTCTATTAGGACACCCAGTTCGCGATCACGCGATGGTCGCATCGTTTAATCGCGCGATGATCGCGTTGTATTAGGACAATGCCTAATAATTTTATTCTGATTCAATAAATACGAAAAATTGGACCTCTCGTATTCAGGCTACCATACTATATCATTGTATGCGGCTACAATTTTACGCATTCTTAAAAGAAAAAAACTTGTCTGTTTTGACATTTTAAACGAAGTATCGGGCAAGTGGTTCAGTAATCAGCTTGTTCGATAGTACTTTCTCACTCTATTAAGTACCTCAAGTTTTTTGCGAGCTAGTTTGGCTTTTCCTTCAGGAAATGATCTCGAAATTAAACTTCATACGAAATATCGACTCCTAGAATTCCGATGTTTTTGTGCCTTCCACGAATGGGGATTTTTTGCGGTGAACACACATACGTATTTGTCATGTTAAATCTAAATAAATTTTGTCGTATCCCACGAAAAAGGGCGTTATTGCAAAACAGCAACTTTTCAGGAGAACAAAAACTATAGTCTACACTACAGTTCTACACCGAAGTGAAGCGAGGGTGGGCCACTATGTAGTTTTTGCATCTTGTAGTTAGCCTGAGTAATTTTGGTAATAATAATGATTTTTTGAATAGTTATACCCCTTAATTCCTTATTCTCCGTTATATTTCCACTAAAAAGCACCCAACATGGGTCCTAAGGTATATTATAACCCTTTTCCTTGGTAATGTTAAGGCAACAATCGCCATTAGGTTATTTCAAAATATTATAAATGCTTTTTCATTATTTATATTGCTCGATAAAACTATCAGGTTACTTAATATAATTATAATAATTAACAAAAAATAACCAAAACGCTTCTTTTCTTATTAACATTAAAACGCCTTAACTAATTGAGATCAGATAATCAAATTAACGTAACATAAAAAATTACAAAAACATGATTACTTCTTAATTTTTTGATAATCATATAGCAAAAACAAAACTTAACACTCTTTGATTATTATTGAATCAGTCTTATCCACATCTAGTCATCTATACAAATTATCTTACTTAAGTTTTCGGTTTAAGATTTAACTCACTAATCATCTTCTTCGTCAGTACTTTCTGTATTGTTATCATTCTCTAACAGTGTTTGCTCATACGGTAATCCTCGGAAAAATTAATGAAATTCATCAGGGATTATTTTTGAGTCACACATAGACACTAAGTCTTTTTATTTATCATATTTAACTTTAATAGGCGTCGTATTGGCAAGTTCGACTTCTGGATCCGATATTTTTTTTTTCCTCTTCTACTTTTTTTTAATGTTGTTATTGTTTCATATTCTTCATTATGATCATATTTATATTTTATTACATTAAAATTTTCTTTAGTATTATGCACTTCTTTAATCTTACTCCATACTACTTTTTCTCTGTCATCATTTTTAGTCAATTTTTTCCCATAAAGACTCTGTATGCTTCGCCTTTAGTTTTCGCCCATCTGATTAGATTTACCCATTGGTCGGGAGTATATATAGTCTTCCTATTTGAAGCTCCTTCTATAACTGAATGGACACTGTCCCCTTCATTTTGTGTGTGCCGAACTTCAAGGAAGCGGTGGGTTATAGTTTCTATTTTAAACTTTATAGCTATTAGGATATAGGATTGTTACCATGTACCTTGTTTTTTATGAGTCTCCGATATTTCGGCACTGTTGCAAGCGCCATGATCACGGAGTAACTGAAGTAATTGCGGGTAGATGTTTTGTTTTTTGTTGAAGTTCTCCCGTTTTAGGGAAGGCAAAGGGAACAATGCCCATACAGCCTAGTCTTTAATTAAATTAATCTTCTTTTTTTTACATTAGAATGTCGGTGTGACGCATTCTAATGTTTCTTGGAGTGTTTGGCACGAAATGTATCGAGTTGGCTTTTTCGATAAGCTTCTGTGAGGTAGTCAACACTACAATAAAATTCTCACGTCCACTTGACCGGAATAGCGTATATTTTAACGATTCCACTAATTCTTCAGTTACGCAGACGGTTGTTACACAAAACCACACCAATTTTATTTCACAATATCCACTATGAACGAATTTAAGAATAATTAAAATAAGACGCCAACCGCACTCGATGAAATCCCGCCAAAAAACCTCGATTTTTTTTTTATTATTATTATAATGGCTCGCACGGTTTGTGCATTGGCCACGACCCTGTCGTGAGGTAAAAAAAGGTAAGGAAACCAAAATAATGAAATAAAATGGTTGTGAAACGGAATTTGGAAGGAATAGGATCAGGTAGGTACGTAAAATTAATTTGAAACGTAAGTAATAGGTCTATTTAAGTATATAAAATACATTACATTATTTGTTATAAATTAGGTATTTATAATTTTATATTATGTTTAGTTAGGAATTCAGATAGCTTGTTATATATATTATAATTTTTATAATACAATAAGGAAGGAATAGAAGTAGGGAGAGGTACATTAAGGGATATTAATGAATCCATAAAAGAGGCGGAATCATTGAGGGGACACTCAAAGAAGATGTGATTTAAGTCTTCTGCTCCAGTACCACAAGCACAAATATTATTATTTACTATGCCCAGTTTAGCCAGGTGGGAAGAAGAACAGTTATGACCGATGTGGCAAACTTACTTAAATGAATTTTAGAAAACCATGGTTTATCGGGAATACATTGTCGAATTAATTTATAATGTTTACCTTTGATGCGACTACTAGTATCCCAATTTTCTTCCCAAGATGTAACATGTACTTTAGGAAGTAAAACAAGATCATTTACTAAATTTTTATAGGGAAAGACGTCACCACAATTCACTGAATCTTTAACGAGTTTATCAGCTACTTCATTGCCTGTGAAGTTA